TTATCTCTAACTGTTCTGGGCACATGCTTATATTGCCAAAGGAAATTATGACAATAAACAAATAATCTTATTTTTGGTTCTCCTACAAGTCATTTGGAAGGACAGCCATTTAGTCTTTCTTTAAGACCTTCGACTCAAAGTCACCATCCATCTCAAAACTGGGCATTCACATTCATATGCAAACTTTCATTGCTTTTAAGTAACATAATACTACCAACATCTACTTTATCTGAAACCATGTTTCTTTTTCTGATCATACTTTTAAAAATAATAATAAATATAAACCAAGTTTTGTTTCCTTAAACCAGAGCAGCAGCAGCATTTAAAGGTAGACTATATATGCTATTAGATGAACTTTATATATCCAGCTCATTTCTTATTGGCAATCAGATTGTAAACTTAAAGTCTTTTATAAAGAAATGATACATTTAACAATCATAAATCCTACCTTAAATTGGTCCATCCAAAAGTTTTCAACCTACAGAATGTGAATGACTGCCTTCTTTTTCTGATTTCATTATTTTACTTATACAACTACATGTACAACCCTGCCAGGTGTCACTTTCTAAACTTAGGAAAAAGGACGCGAGCATAGGTAATTTCAAGAGTAATCAGTAACAGCACTACAAAACAGGGACCCAGTCTGCAACACTGAAAAAGATAAAAAGAAGTCTTGCCCTACAAATTCAGCAGTGGGAACACACAGAAGAATGAAACCATCTAAGACAAAAAAGCAAAATGTTAATAACAGGCAGCATAAGATATAGCAAATAAAACATGTCCCAAATCAGATGCAACAGGTGTTCTATTGTAAGTTGCTTTATTACTGCCATCAAGTGACAGCAAATTTCTAACGATTTACTCCTTGACAGTGCCTGACACCTATTCTGGAAGGGACAGAGTGGGGCAAGGTGGAGCATAATTATTGCTGAAGATGACTACCAGTCACCTCAGTTGTAAACAGGGTGACCTGTGGCTTGCCACTGGTCAGTTTATCAGAGCCCAAAATATATCTTGTCATGGAAAAATTCATCTGAGTCTCTTGAGAGGAACCAGTGAAGCTGAACATGAAATAATGTCAAGCAGGCAGGAGAAAAAGCTCTCTCAATGAAGTGAACCTAGCTGGTGCATGTTTTTCTACTTATATTTTTTTAACAAATGGGTCTGACATGCTTTTACAAAAACCGTATATACAAGTACCAGTATCACCTCTTCATTGTCATCATATAAGCAGATTTTTCTCACTCTGATTTGCCTTTGTCTTTTCCTTATAATAAATAAATAAATAAAAATGCACATTCATCTCTGCTGATGTATGTTTTATTTTCCCCTTCCTGTACTGTGCCATATGCAGCAGGGTCAAAAACCTATGGCACACATGCCAGAAAGGTAACTAAGGCAGACTTTGATTGTCATACAGTACAGATTTACATATATGTCAGAAACAAAGCAGCTGCCAAATCACAACTCCTACTCTCTAAAATTGTATGCAAGACCTGCTATTGTGCTCTAGTCAAAATTTCTGAGAGGCTCACGGTAATCACCAAGCTGGAACTCAGCAGGAGACGTGAGATCTAGCAAGATAGTGCTTGTCAGTAAGAAAGTATTTGTGAGAGCAGAAGTATTTGTTCCTCCATTCCCTCCTGGAACTCCAAACTCACCTACAGATGGGAAATGTATTGGCGTGTGAATGCTCTGATATGGGAAAGAAAACACAGTTCACTCGAGCATTCTTGACACTGTTGACCTCCAGCACAGTGGACTAGAGGACATGCCTTTTGGAGAAAATAAGTATGGCATTGATTTTTCTAAATAAGATGGAGATTTTATTTTGCTTTCTGTGCTGAACTGAACACTAAAACAAGCCCCAAATTACTCTCTCCTACTGAACACATTGAACAAAACACTCCTCTAACTGAAAAATACTGCAGCCGATTTCAGAGCTTTGCATACAGGTGGATATACATAGACCAACCTGGATACCAGATCTGTTAGGTGATGTGAATAATAGTTGGCCCATCTAACATACCACTTCTGCATAAACTGCATGCAACTGGCATAGAACAATAAATGTGTATATTACGGTCTCTAAAGTAAATTTAAATCTTGAGAGTCTGCTATCATTCCATTCATCACAAGGAACACAGTTTTGGCCTGCCTACAATACAATTCTCCTCCTCCACTAGAAAGCACAGTTTCACCAAGAGTTAACCAGCAACACCATAGTAGTTTCAAAGCTCAATTTTTTAATATAATTTTCTGTTTCCCAGAAGAGGCAGTCATAAATTACAGAATCACAGAATGTTAGGGATTGTAAGGGAGCTCAAAAGATCATCTAGTCCAACCCCCTGCCAGAGCAGGACCACCCAGAATAGATCACACAGGAACGCATCCAGGAAGGTTTTGAATGTCTCCAGAGCAGGAGACTCCACAACCTCCCTGGGCAGCCTGTTCCAGTGCTCTGTCACCCTCACAGTGAAAAAGTTTTTCCTGTGGAACCTCGTGTGCTCCAGCTTGCGCCCGTTGTCCCTTCTCCTGTCACTGGACATCACCGAGAAGAGCCTGGCTCCGTCCTCCTGACACTCGCCCTTTACGTATTTATAAACATTAATGAGGTCACCCCTCAGTCTCCTCTTCCCCAAGCTAAAGAGACCCAGCTCCCTCAGCCTTTCATCGCAAGGGAGATGTTCCACCCCTTTCATCACCTCTGTGGCTCTGCGCTGGACTCTTTCAAGCAGCTCCCTGTCCTTCTTGAACTGAGGGGCCCAGAACTGCACACAATATTCCAAGTGCAGAACACTGTCACCTCTAACCACCTAGGAATGTCTTACAGAAAGGCACTGAGGAATGCACACGCTTACAGAATACGCTACTTAAGGTGTTCAAGACATCCATAAAAATATCCAGCTTCCAGAAGTGAGCCTGAACAAGAGAGAAACGTTAAGCAGAATGACCAAAATAGAAGGAGACAATGAACCTATGTAAACATATGCGTAAACTGAAAGAATCAAGACAAAAGCTATGTATTTGATCAGAAGAATAAATTATTATGGAAAAAATAAAGTAGATGTTGTTGGTATATTGGGATGGTAGCATACAAGCAACACAGAAAAAAATTTCATTAGTTCTGCTTTTTCATACAGGAGAAAAAAGTGAACAATCATTGATACCCAAATAACTCTGAAGTTTACCATGCATATATTATTGACACACCTAACACTACAGCAAAGCTTTTAGTAGCATTCAGAGAATAATATACACATGCCCCTCTCTCTCCCTCTCTCTCTCAAATAGCTTAATTCACATTACCAACACACCAAAATGAAACTGAAAGAAGTTCTGTTCACAGACATAAATATCAGACAATAAATCATTAAAAAAATTAGCTGACTAGGTTTTCTGGAATGCTCAATATTAAATATTCCTAACAATGGGCCTTGGCTTTGGTTTGGCATAGACTCTCTCCTGTTCATTTCTTTTCATGAATCCTTTCATGGAATGTATGCCAAATGATGTGATCACCAGCAGTTATACACGGTCAGACTACAGAAGAAGGTTTGTGGTTTCAGAATAAGTTATTTACTTCAGAAAAAAAAAACCTGAGTTCGCATAAATGCTTCAGTTCAGAGTAGGATTTAATTTTCTAATCTATAATAGTATAATATTTCATATTAAATACTGTATGCAATATCATCTTCTAAAATTCACATTGCTGAAATATTTCTATCATGAAAAGGCCAAATGTAGTGAGGTATTTTTAAAAGGCATGAGGCCCTAGCGTCAAGATAAGGCTTGCATTTTAGAAGTTTTCCACTCCCTCCTCCGCTGCGAAACAAACATCTTCCCCACTTTTGGAAAGCAAGAGCAAAATAATGGAGGTGGTTTTGATGCAACATACAGCTGACAGATGTCCTGTGAATGGTTTCTAAGGAACTCAACTACAACGTCGAAAAGAAAAATTTACACTATCAAAACATCCTTCTTTATTGGTAAAGGAAAAAGAAGCCGTGGTGACCGCTAGTACTCTGGGGACACTTCTAAACTTTACAAACGTAGTGCATAGGTCAAATTAAGAGGACAAGTATCAAAAAGATATGACAACATCATGAAAGGAAACTTTTACTAATAGCATCTACCCCAGAACTTTTGTATGGACAGATGATTCATGCCCTGGATAACAAATCCAACACTATCTATGAGCAACATAAAAAATTATCTTCAACCGTTTCTGCCATTATGATAATTTTTGAGACCGCTGTTTTTCTCAGCCACCCTGCAGTGGCAAGAATTTCAGAACCCCAGACGATGAGTTTGGCTCCTGACACCGCACAGTTTTTGCTACTACAACACAGTGGTTCTCAGTCTTTCAATCACAGCTATAAGCAATCTGGAACATCTATGCAGACAACTTCTTATAATGTTTACTGACTTCACTGATGACATTAGGATACAGAATGGGAAAAGATTCCCAAAAGGATTGTCCTCTCAAATTGCCATACAGCATGGAGGCTGGTTTCCTGCTAGATAAAAATGTTTTTAACATTCTTATTTAAAATAAACAACAAAACAAGTACTACCCAACTTTCTGAGGTTTTGTTTGGTTTTGGTTTTTCGGTTTTAGTTGTTTGGTTTTTTTTAAAACTAAAAACCAGAAAATTGAGGCATACAGAGAACAGAAACTGTTGAAAAAACAAAGCAATGAATTTGAATTTATTAAAAAAACAACCCACCAAACACCTGAACAGCAAGCTGATGTGCTTATTATCATCACAGTGAGTGAATAGAAAGCTAAATGTCAAGCATTGCTACAGATATAGGTCAGCAATTTCTATTGTTAATGCCATTCAGCATGTACCCATGGCAGGAGGTAAAGTCACCTAATCACAATTCCAGTTCCTTAAAACAAGTCAAACTGTTTCACTCTCCTACTACTTTGCCACTGAGTAAAACTGCTCAGCAGAATTCATTTTAACCAACGGGGGGAAAAAAAAATCACGTACCATTGTGATGAGAACTCTGTATTTATCCAGCATTGCCTGGTTGTCATGGCATCCTGCCAGCAACTGCCAAACCTCTGCCCTCAGTGCTTCTGGAACACCACTTTTCACCAGGGTGGATAATCCGTTTGGTCTCACAACAAGATTATTGTGCCTGAGAAACAGATAATCATTTGCCTATTATACTTCAACTACAAGAGTAGAAAGAAAGATAAAAGATATAAAAAGTTTTTAAACTTTCCAACGTTATTCTGAAAAGTAGTCAGCAACTGGCAACAAACTTTTCTTCCACTGGTTACGCATATTAGTATTTGTCAGATGGAAAGCAAAAATTATGCAAGGATTTACAGCAAGAACCAGAGGTAAAATGTAGTGATATCTGAATTCTCTAGGTGTAGAGAAAATAATGAAAATTAAAACAATAAACAATTGCAGAAACTGAACTCAACTGGCTAATGAAGAACAATTTAAACTGAAAGAGAAAACTATGCCATCTGTGCAGACAATTCAATTTAAATATTTGTTCAACATATATGTATAGCTTAGGTTAAGAAAAGGAAGTTAAAAATAATCTAAGCTGTATAGAGAAATAAATTTTGGAAAACAAATAAAAGCCAGTTTTAAGAGTACTAACATGAAGACTGAAGTTCCAGCTTTACACTTCATGCCAGGAGTACGCTGCAAGTCCCACAAAGCAGTAACACTTCCACATACCTTGGTAAAATCCCACCATTCCAAATAAATCTGCCTACTAGTTTGAGATGGTGTTTTACTATCTGTTTGTACACACACCAAGAAATGTAGGAAGACAATTGCAGGATAACTTTTTTTATTTTTCAACACTACATAACTAATCCTACATAAGCTGGTATATAGAACTATGAAAAGGCTTTATTCAGACAGGTTGAATACTAAAGATGTGTTTTTCAAAAATGATCCAGTCACTGAGCCCATACATTTAAGCTAAAATCACTGCACGTGCACAATATTGTAAAGCTTTCAGCCACAGATGTTTAAAAATCCTTTTTGAGATAACAGTGTTTACTGATCTAGATTAAGTCTTGCTTTGACTTATGGCAATTTTCATAGCAATGGAGCAGGAAGACTGCATGAATTGACTCCTTATTCTTTGTAATTTAGGAAGTGCTTTGCTCTGTTGTTGTTTTGACCATTGTTATATTTTTCAGCTCTACTGGTAGGAGAATGGTGAGAGTGTCAGTTTAGCCAAATGCTAGCAAGCTGCAATTAAATTAAATAACCTGCAATTTGACCCTCAATTTTGAGTAAATGTTTAGAGTAATCATTCTTTGAAACAGGTCATTAAGATGTGAACAGTTTACCACTACTGTTTAAATTTAAAAGGTGTTCTAAATAAATTTCTTTTTCCTATAGTCCAAGAAGCATATTCCCATTTTTCCAAATGACTTGAGAATTAAAAACGTGTGATTGTATAATGCCCTTACTCTTTTAAACACAATAATTATTTTAAATTTTAAGTGTGTAGTGCAATACAAGTAATTCAAAGTTTATCATTCAGTTAGCCGAATTAGAGCCCAACTAGTCCCTTTTCTCTTTTTCAGTACATTTTGCAGCAAGTCACATTAGACTAATGGTCTTGTGATGGGGAAAAGCTAGAAAGAAAACCCAATATTCACAGAAATGTCAAAAGATGAGGCACTCTAAGCAGTTACAAAATTATGAAATGTACATTCAGGAATAAATAAATAAAATACACCAGAAACTTAGAAGCTCAAATTGTTTGAAAATGAAGCATTCATAGTACGCTTCAAATCAGATTAGTTCAGTTATTACATGGATTTGGTCATATATGTTGTAAGAGAAACCGGAAGGCCTTCTCTAAGGACTCGGCAAGCAAATAAAATTAACAGCTAAAAAGGTACATCCCCATAGACATGTAACAGGGAAATTTTCAGCAACATCAAGAAAACCATACAAATAGTTTATGGCAACAACTAACAGAGCTGCACATTCCATGCTGTAATACCATCCTTACTACTGAACATATTCACAATTGAGAATTAAGCTTGCTACAGTACTCCAGATTTTACTGGATTTGTCATATATTTAGATAGCTTTATGTTAGAGGTAATACTGTTGCAACATTAGTCCATGCAGTAAAGCATATCTTTGTAACTTTAATAGACAACTTCTCAGTTTCTGAATGTCTGTTTGGGAAACAGCGTGATCATTAATAATCCTTGTGCTGTATTCTAAAATAAACAAATACACCTTTTTTCCTGCTTTGTGTAGAGACCTAGACACCTTGCATTCTTAGACTTTTTGACACCTGCTTGGCCGGACTATAACAGAAACAAGCATAAAATAAATGCTTGTTTTAATCTAGCCTTATCCTTTAGCATGTGGAAAAAATGCATCATTCATAGGTGCTGACATCTTTAATTAGTTATGAAGTGCTGCGATTCTCCTGCACAAAATTCAAAGACATAATTTTAAAACATCAAAGAGCAAGGATACAGAACAGTGATGCATATACAATGCTCCACACAAATATTTCCGATCAAAGACTGCTATTGATCATTACTACTTTAAAAAAAAAAAAATAACCAAACACATCAGAAATAATTAAGTACTCAGCTAAATTAGCTCAGCTGGCAACAACGACTTTAATGCTGAGGCTGCAGTAAATAGTAAAATAAATTAAGAGACATTCCATTACTTTCCAACTGTTTATTGTATCTTTTTGGTAAATTATCTTACTCTTATTCCTGTTTATATGTTTGAAGCAGATTCCTGGACCACTGTTTCTGCTGAGTCAGTCCTCTAGGTTACAGTGACATTTTAATGAAATGACAAGAAGCAATTAAAGTACAAGAAAATTTTCATCTAAGAGACGAATCAGCACACCAGTTCTCCAAGTGGAAATGTTAATTTTTGTTTATTTACTTTTTTTTACAAGTGCACAGATATTCCACTAGCATACGCTGCAGTTTTCAACACATTAGAAGATTTTATTGCAATCTATTTTTAGTTTTCAAACTGTTAACATTTTTCATCTATTACTCCTTCCAAGTTTTGTTATCCTAAAAGGTAATACTGCCTGAGACACTCCTAAAGCAAATGCTACTGCTAGCCTTCAAGCTGGCTGGGATCTCATTTCTCAGCCCATTTTTAACTCATTTTAACTAATGTGTTTTAACTACTAAATGATTCTCTGAGTTAAGTGTGTAAGTTATGTTAGGACTTTAAAATAGTTCACTCCAGATGTCTTAAATATTTTGTCTTATTGAATAGTATACTTGAGTAATTTGAAGAAATAGTTGGTTACGTGAAACTTGAGAGAATAAGCTGTGGGTAGTTCTTTCCTTCAGCACACTTCTCCACTGGAGTCCAGATATTTGTCAAGGGCAAAAGTTAAAACTAAAAGAATCAACTGACAGATGAGTTTAAAAAAAAAAATAAAATATAGCATCTTCCAATGCAAATGCAATGCAGATTGAAACAAACCTGCCGCACAGTTCTTTAAGGGCTCAGGATGGCACTCCTCATTGGCCTTATAATGCCAGACATAAAACTCCAAACTATCTATAAACTCTTTCTGGGGATGTCCTTTAGAACAGGCTTTGGAAAGCTCTAAACCGCTTCAGAGCGGATCTGTTTACAGTCTTTTCAGGTGAGGAAAACACACTTGTCTATAGGGATCAACTGACTTCCACACTTTTCCTCAGTATTTTCTTAAACATTCAGAGGGTCCATAGCCAGAATATTTGTACAATCATTCCATTAAATATTTGTGCTTCCCAAAAAAGATCTTTCATTAAGGCCAGAAACTTGGATGACAAAGTAGTTAAAGCAGGAGGGAGGGGTTCTGGAGGGAAGGATTTTGTTAAGCTCAACAAAATCTTGTGATGTCTCATTTAGTAACCTTTGCATGAGACCTCCATTACAGATGAGGCCAGCAGCAAGAGGCTGTGTTTTGCCAAAGTTACAAAGTGGCCAAATAAAGGGGGGAATTGCCCCAATAAATCCTTAAAATGTTTTTCAACCTTGTTTTTAGAGTTAGGAGAAGGAAACTTTGCCAATTCCAGATTAAGAGCCTCTGATTATTTTTCTCTCAGGCAGCAGGAGCTATTACTTACAAAGGGAAAACCAAATAAGCGGTGCTGGCATTTGCTAATAGTGTAAGGCCTCTCAGAGGTAGCAAATACACACTTTTTCCTCTCTTGGCAAAGTGTATGCTGCTACTGAAGCACTTTATGAAACCACAGAAATAACACTGCTGAGAACATACTTTAGGCTTACAAATATTCTTCATTTTACTCTCCAGTAGGAACTGTTTCAGTGAGGATCACAGTCTTCCCAGAATTCCTTTTTAAGTGCTTACATATAGCACGTTAAGGAAAAAAAAAAAAAAAAGGGGGGGAAAAAAGAGTGCTTCGAAACAAATCAATAAATTAAATGTATGCCAGCTAGCACAAATGGCTTCAATAGGACAGACTGGAGTTCCTCTGTCTTTTCTATCCTAGTACTAAGAAGCACTAAGTTTCATGAGAGCTTAACATCCATCCTCAAGGAACACAGGTGGCCAGAAAGTTCTACACTTGAAGACTCACACCTGCAGCGTGAGCATATATGGACATATTCTCCAACACTGAACAAAACGAGACTTCTGCAGATGCTGTGGGAGAGATTAGTCAAACAACTGCAAGTTAAAATAAGAGGATTTACCAGTCCCTTTTAAACTAGGTTTAAAAACCACACTTCAATGTGTTCTGTATTTTAATTTTTAAACTGCATAAGCTGAACAATTTCAAACCTCCTGCTCAAAAGCATATAGTCTCATAAAACAAAGAAAAGGATAGTATTTAAAATCTAAGTTTAAGAAATGAAGCATTACCATCTCCCCAGTAATTCTCCCCAGGAATACAAAATCTTCTCAGGACAATCCTTTGACACATCACCAGTGCCACTGGAGAGTTCATTATCACTCTCTGAAAAAAAAAACAACAAAAAAACCAAAAAAAACAAACCACCAAACAACAACAAAAAGACAAAAAAGAAAACAAAAACAAAAGCATGCACAGATTTACCAAAGAGAACAGACATTAAAGGTGCGTACATATAGGTATCAGACAAATTCTTCTCTCCTATCAGTTTTAAAACCACAAAAAGACACAGAAAATATTAGCAGAACCATAAAGAATGTTTAGCAGACTTAACAAAACAAGTGTATTAATAAAGTTACCATAAGGTTCAAAAGAACAAGACTAGGCAATAGTTCACAGCACTGTTACAGAAAAAAAGTGGTGGGATCTAGAAAAGCATTATGTGAGAAAAGATTCAAGGCTGTCAACTATCCATTTAATGAAATTTCACAATGCAGTATTATCTAAAAGTCACATCCACTCCAGACTTCACATAAAGAGAACTCTCTTTTAAAGCATAGTAGGTAACACTACTTCATTACACTGCATCCCTTATGTGCCATTCTGGCCTCATGTGGTACTCTGATCTCAAGAAGCCTACTCACAGCCACAAAATAATTTTTTTTACTGAAACAAGTTCGTGGATGAGCAGCAAAAACAACACTGTGACATCACAGGTCATATTGCATGGGACACAAAAGAATGCTTTAAATGTAAAAGAAACCTCAAAAGTACTAGGAATAAAACATTTATGGAGGAATATATGTCCTTACATGACTGATACACAAAACCAGAAGGGATAATGTGAGACTGGAGTAGTGTACTCAAATAACCATCCAATCCAAGTAACCATCCAATTTCCAAGTGTCTTACAGGTCTACGCAGGTGTCCACAGTAAGCTAAACAGTCTAATTCTTTAGAGCAGCTCCTCATGTGAACGTGGTTTTGCAGTTATTTAGACTTTTCCCAGTTTTATCTGAATAAAATACTGCTAGAAATTAAACATGAGTACAATTTCAACAACATGAAACATTGACAGGGCTCCAAGTCTCAGCATCTTTACTATGATCCACAACCTAAAAAAGACACTGTAACAGGCCCATTATCCTCAGAAGCCTCTGAAGTTATGGACAGTTTAGACATTAGAGGGTAATGTCTAAAGGCTGCTCTTTCCTACAAACTGAGCTGTCTCCAGAAGCTAAAATAAAACAAAAAAAGAAGCACCAAAGCCACATCTGCTCCCAAAATCCCTTAGATACTCTCTTCAACACAGCTCAGTCACATCTGGTTGCTGACCTAATATCTTTAATTCCTCAGGTACATTAAACACTTCACCTCCAACTTTATATAGACAACAGTAGTAGTTCAGGTAGAGGAGGATCTTCAGTACTTGTACAATTATCCTCTTAAGTCTTCATCCTTGTATTCTCACTTCAATTACACGTTTCTAATTTATAGTCTCAGCAATTGTCAAATACAAGTCATTAACAAAAAAATCATCAGTGCTTAAATTCGACAATGAGCTGTGAAGACAAAGATAGCATATACTCTCTTTCAAGGACAATTAACAGCAAAAATGCTGCCCTGAGAGAAGAGAAGCATATCAGAAATCTCTTTGTATTTCAAATTGAACATTAGAGCAGTGAAACCCTTTAGCTTGGAACCTGTTTGTACAGCTTTACAGGCCCCAAAATACACCATCAATTTTAGAATTAAAAAAAACCAAACCAAACGAAAAAAAGCCAACCATACTCATCATAAATCAACAGGGAACTTGATTTTAAGGTTTCCCAATGTTTTGCAAACATTGACTGTATCTAAAGACGGAAATATGAAGATCTAAAATCCCCAAATTTATCATTTTAACTAAAATTTGATATCACTATAAAAGCTTCTCCAGCAACCAAAGGAACCCGTTAAGTTCCAGTGGAAGAAATGTATTTGAAGACTCAACTTTCCGTTCGTTTTAAAATTACCAAAAATACTGTAAAGCCAAATCTCCTCACTTACCACCCAGGCCTGGTAATAATTAAAAAAAGGTTAAGTTAAAGCAATTAAATGCATTACATATTTTAAATTATCTCCTCTCCTTATTTGCCTAACTGGATCAAAGAGATTAATTATAAACGCAGCCCTTCTACTTCCCATGGAAACAAGGGAAAAAAAGCTGAGGAAACCTCCTCTAGATTGAGTACACTGGCCATTCAGAGACACAAGGTACTTGTTAGTGAAACTGGTACATATTAAGAAGCTCAAGAAACCTGGCTCACATCAGAAATTAATCATAAACCACAATTTCAGAAAGGTTTCACATATTCAAGCTAAAGGGAGACAATTTGGCAAAAAATTCTGAGTTATTTGAATTACTTTGGAAAGGCTGAAGAACTACAGTGCATTTCTACAAGAGCTACTGGTGAAAATATACACAAACAAATCTTGCAGTCTGAAACAAAATCTGATAAAGATGAATAAAATCCCCAACTAGACCAAAACATTTAAAAATTAAGCTACACTGAATACTTTCAGGAACAAAGCACACTACTTGTTATCTGATCCAAACCTGAGCTTGCCAAGGAATACTAACATCAGACAAAAGAAACAAACCCCTTCTTTTCTCACTGTGCTGGAATTCTGTGCCAAATTCTTCGAAGTTCTTAAGGAGATCAGCGTTACACAGCATATGTACTCCAGCAAGATACATCACAAAGCCACAGTGCTCCAGCCCTGAAAATTCTTTCATCTGGAAGGCTTAACAGTATTTGGAATGTATTATTCAGTTATATGTCAGAAAATCACAGGCCTTAATTAGAAATGCCATATGCTCCCTTTCAAAAGACACTAACGTCAAACTTCAAAATAGAACAGGGCAAGGAGAGAGAATAAACAGCTTTAAAAATGTCTGTTTGCACTGTAAAGACTATTTACATATTCTAACCTGTGTAAGCACTTAGGTATAAATTAAGAAGAAAAAAAAGAAAGAAAAAAAAAAGAGGCTGTGGGAGGGTTATTTAACTGTAGATGTTCTTCTCTGAGGTGTACTTCTATACATTTTTTTGCACATCCTATAGCATCTATATGCCAGCAGCATAAGCCAGAGCATGATTTTATCCACCCTTATTCTGCTGGGAATGCCACAGATCCCTTCCTCTAAATATATCGTGTACTTCTCCCTTCCTCCTTTATTTGCCTTGACCTCTCAGAGCCTATCAACAGGACAATAAAACTTATGCCTCACTAGAATGAGAGGAGGATGGGAGACCTCTCAAGGGAGCACACCTGAGGGGCTGGGTTGTAAATGTGAGTACACCCAAAAAGCCTTTAAGAATACTGACAGGTAACAGTAAGCCTCTCAGGTTTTTTGTTTATTTGCTTGATTTGAATTGTAATGTGCTTCACAAAATTCACAAAATCTCACTTCGTGGATGCCTCATGAACGAATTCCCCAAATTCAGAGCCCCTATTTAAAACAAGCCTGAAGGATCGCACTTCCATAGCAGCCATCACCCTGCATGGCATCAGCATAGAATCACAGAATACTTTGGGCTGAACAGACCTCTGGAGATCATCTAGTCCAACCTCCTACTCCAAGCACACCTAGTTAGATCAGTCACATGTAGACCTCAGTGGGAAAGTCTTGAACACCTTCAAGAAAGGAGACTCCAGAATGTCTCTGGACAACCTGTTCCACTACTTGACCATGCTCATGGTTTAAAAACAAACCAACTAACCCTCCAAAACCATCCTTTTATCTAAACAGAATTTCCCAGGTTCCAATTTGTGTCTGTTGCCTCTGGGCCTGTTATTGTGCACCTCTGAGAAGAGCTCCGAGTCCTCTGATGTAGACAGCAATAAGATTCTCCTCTGCACATTTTCTATTCTAGCCTGAACCAAACACAGTTCCCTTAACCCCTCATTGTATGTCATGTGCTCCTGCCATCTGACCAGCTTGGTGGCCTCCACTGGACTTGCTCTAGTGTGTCAGTGTCTGTCTTGTACTGGGGAGCCCACAACTGGACACAGTACTCTAAACACAGTCTCACAGGTGCTGAGTAGAGGGGTGGATCATTTCCCTGGACCTGCTGGCTAGACTCCTGCTAATACAGCCCAGGGTGTGCTCGGCCTTCTCTCCTGTGGCCGTATACTGCTGATTTGTTTTCAACTTCCTGCCTGCTGGGATCTCCAGGTACTTTTCTGCAAGGGTCACTTTTTATCACTTACTAGTGACGCCCTGTCTCGTCACACGGGGTTATTCTATCGCAGATACAGGACTTGTCAATTGCCTTTGTTGAACTTTATGAGGTTCCTGCCAGTGCATTTCTCCAGCCTGCCCAGGTCCCTCTGACTAGAAGCCCTGCCCCTCCAGACCCACCCCCCACCATTTGCTGTTGTCCACAAACCCGCTGAGGGTGCACTTGGTCCCATCGTGCAGGTAATTAATAAATACATTTAACAGCACTAAGCCCAATACTGATCTCCAAAAGATACTACTACTTAACTGGCTGCCAGCAGGACTTTGCAGCATGGATTGATTCTTTCATCCCCACAGTTCAGCCAACCTTCCAACCTGTATTATTTTTCACTTACCCAGTCCCTATCTCATTGAGTTAATGATAAGGACACTATGAGACACAGTGTTGGAGTCTCTGCTAAAATCAAGTTATACAGCATTCACCACACATCCCTTGTCCACAGCACTGGTTGCCTTGTCATAGAAAGCAATGAGGTTTGTGACAATGATTTGCCTTTCATAAATCTATGCTGGCTGTTACCAACGACCTTGTTTGTCCTTCACATATTTAGAAACTACTTTCAGGAGTATTTGTTCCGTAACTGGTCCCATGGACTTAGGTTAGACTGACCTGGGTCTTCCTTTTGGCTCAATGACATTTGCTTTTCTTCTTTTGGACATTTGCCATTTACATGAGATAAATATGGAAGTCTATGCAGAAACCACGCAGGTTGGGGGAGGATTTCTGGATGATGGATTTCACATATAGTCTGTTTTGTTAGTATACCTACAGACAAACCTAAACATGTGTAAAAAATGGTCTCTTTCAAAAAATCTG